GGGGCCGCAGGGAACTGCGCTGGCGGGTCAGGTCTTCTCTCAGGATGCGTCTGGTTCCCTTATCCCGGTGTATGTGTCTGTGTCCCGGGAAATGTTGATCTCCCCGTGTTTAAACGCAGCAGTCAAACCACATGCTCGGGAAGTGGAAGACAGAGGGAATTCCTTCTGGTACCGTGGAGGAGCCGAGACTGGCTGCGGTGCTCGCTGGTTGAATGCTTCACAGGACAGTTACTTAGGTTTCATGCTATATTGGAATAAGAATCAGGAAAGTCCTGAAGGTAATGGCCTTAGTTCCCACTCTGCACAGGAATCAAGCTCGCAGCATAGGAGAGTAAGAAACCCTGCAGCTTGGTGATTGTGTCACTTTCATTCATGCCATGTGATGTACACACATACAGGAGCACTAGCAAATGGGTGGTATCACTATTCCCATGAAATGTTTAATTTTCACAGTGATACTTCAGTTTGTCTCACTCCAAACTAAAAAAATACCCGTTTAATTAAAGTGAAAGGACAGTAAAAATATTTAATTGCACTGGAACAATTACTTAGAACGAAGCAGAACAGTTTGAACAGGAGTGGATGAACCTGCTGCACATATCCCCTGAGTATTGTGGACTGTGGAATTTAGGGTCATGACCTGTAAAGGTTCAGTTCACTCACACAGAGGAATGTAGTTAATATTAATTCTGGGTCTTCTGTCCTGAGCAGACATTCCTCAGCCTGAGCTGTTGTATTAGAGGTAGGGCATCCCTGGGTTTAGTAAAAAAAATAGAACCCTGCCATATGCTGCCTCCCAATGTGCCCAAAGAAGGTATCAAAAGTACTACTTTTCTCAATGGGAGAAGGATGGATTGGGCACAGGGCAGTGTCTGTTAATGTCACTTCAGCTGTGAACTGTCAGCTGAGGAAGAAACAACATGGAAACTAGAAATAATCTATAATGATAGTATTGTCAGTTTCCTTTTATTTTTCTAATTACAGTCTTTTTTCAAAAATTTTCATACTTGTATCTTCTGGAATTAAAAGTTGAAATGCTTTACTATGTGAAGGTACTGAAGTATAAAATGAAGTTAACTCTGGCAGTAAAGACCTAAGGTTTAATAAATTCTTTGTGTGTGAGACAGATTTTAGAGATGCAACACCTACTTGAACTAAATTTGCCACTATCTAAATTTCTCAAGTGGCACCCAACCTTTGTTTTTACAGTGATTTTCCAGTATGTCTGGGCAGTATATGAAATAAGAAGAAACCTATGCCTGTGTGTTACACCTGCTTTGAAATACTTGCAGGAGCCAGTGCTGAATTCTCTTTACTTCATTTTGGTAGTGGTAGAGATAGGACTGAAAATAGGGAACTTCTTTGTTTTGGCATAAAAGATAGATACTGCAATTCAGCATTGCAGCATACATCTGGATGAGCCATCCTTCAGAAATGCCCAAAATACTATTTAGCAGGACCAGGAGCTGGCAAGCCAGAATTCCTGTTTCCCTGAAGATGGTAGGGAGGATTTGATCCTCCAGCGGCATCTCTTTTCATGGGTATAGGCTTTATAGAAAAAAAAATTAAAATTTATCTTGCTACAAGAGTTGTTTTTAGTCAAACCCTAATTCTTCTCTATGAATCAATGTCAGATATGTAGATTTCACAGTGTGTGGTTTGACCTAAGTAACAACTATTAGGTTGCTGTGGTTGTTGTGGTTGTTGCCATTGGTGTCCTTTTAGCATCACTTGTTACGGGACCTTCCTGGCCATCCCAAAGCAGCAGTGGCTCCAGCTCCTGAAAAAAATTGTAGTAAAGAGCCCTTCCCTCTCAGAAGTTAAGGTGTAGTGAATGATGTTGCAGGTAGTGATTGCAAACCACTTAATTGTTATAATGTTTGACAAATTTCCAGCACTTATTCCCAGAATTGCCAGACACCTATCTTGGATGCTAATGTCCAGGCAGCATAGGGAATGAGGAATAAGAAATGAATGTGAAGAACTTGGTGCTTTGTTATTTAATCATGAAACTTAGCTTTTCTCCTCTGCTTCTAGTTAGTTATTTCAAAATATGAGTAATGTTAGTAAAATGATGAGTTTTACTCATTGACATTTTTTACCTGGTGTTATTCAGGTTCCTATGTGAGATGACCTTGAAGGAAGCAGTTCTTGAACTGGATATTTTAAATTAGTTTATGTGCTCACTCTGTGAATAAATGGGACAGGCAAGGAGCTTCCAACAGGTTTCAAAGGATTTATAATGCTTAACAGGACAGTTACTTAAGTTTCATACTAAATTGTAATAAGAATCAGGAAAATATAACTGGGATTAGGAGAAATTTGAATAGAATCTTTCCCTTTTTTCCCCCTTAAAGAACAATGGACTTAATGTGTTTTCTTAGTTTTTATTAAGAGTTTAAAATGTTTGATTGATAATGTCCTCAAACTTTATGTTTGAAAGTTGTGATATTCTTTTCTGGCACTTTTAGAAAACAGAAAACTTTTTTGTGTTTATGAGATTTCACTAACTGCAGAAAATGTTTAACATAAACTGCACTGTGTAATCTTTTATACAGTAGTGTGTCTCTGATGTTTCACACATTTAAGAGATTGTATTTTCCTTTATCTGTTGTACTTAGGAGCTGAATTACTTGTTATCTAAGTTATTGCTGGCAATTTTTTCCTGTATTTGCTCAGCCTAACTGCTAATTAAGTCCATGCTACTTGAATACTGACTGATATTAGAGTACAGAACTACTGAGATGATTGGCCATTCCCTTCACAATTTGTAGCAAACCTTTTACTCAGTCTTCCTCAGGGCACAATTCTTGCTGAGCAAAGCATTGGTTGGTGCTACTGCAGCAATGGCACTTGGGCTGTCCAGGTCATCCTGCTCCAAAAAAACAAATAAGCACATGATTAAGGTTGGTTTTATACTTTAGCACCTACTAAAAACCATAAATAAAGTGGCTCCTTCTAAGTGTTTCACTTTTATCAAGCAGTTGCCCAAAAGCAGGTGGGAAAGAAGACAACAAGGATGCTCCTTTGCTTTAGTATTAGAGGGATCAGAAGTTTTAATGTATTTATAAGTTTTATGTTTACCTATTAACCTATTAACTACTCTAGATTTTAGTAAATTATCTCAGTAAGCCAAGTGCAAGATACAGGAAAAAAACGTAGTTTAAAAATTAAAATAATTATTATGTTTCTTAGCATAAAACCAATAGGACAGCCTAAGCTGGAAGCAGAAACAGTAATATGGATGGATTCCTGAATTCCTGTCAATAGGAATTTAGTGCATTAGCTCAAAGTAATGACATTTTTCCTAGATAATTTCAAATGACCCACTGATACTCAAAGGAATGGCCGAATCTTCTCAGTATCATTCTGATGTTGAAAAATCATATTGAGTTCTGAGTCTGTGTTTATTAAACATCCTGCTTCCTCACTTAGAATGAGAGTTTTTATAATCTCTAATCTGATTTTAATGACCAAGAAACCTCCAGTAAATAACCTTGTCCCAGGACAGATGAGCCCAGGTGGTTCAGAGCTGGATCTGAGCTACCAGGAGCTGACTGCTTGGAGGTTTTTTTATGACCACTCTTCTCTGGGCCTTTTCTTGCCTCACCTTGTTGTTACTGACGTGCACACACAGATAAAAGTAGTTCTGAAGCATTAATATGATTTGTTACATGTCTTTGTTTTAAACTGAAAGTTTAAAATCTGAAAATGTCTGAAATCTGCTAGTTCAGAAGTTCATGTTCCTCTTAGAGCAATGGTGCTTAGCCAGCTGCATATTATTCATTGTCTCTGTTCCTATTTTGTCCCTATTTCACAAAGTTTCAAAATGACTTAGCATTCATTCGAACTTTGTTTTTTTCATATATTCAGCCTCAGTGTCTTATCTTTTTGCTCTGTTATGTCAGACAAGAATATGTGTAGATTCTGTGTGTTTTAATGCACATAAACCATGCCAAGAAGTGATCTGAGAAATTATTTCACTTTGATAGTAAAAATTGCTGGTGGAGTGGCTCCTTGGCCTGCAGGGCCATCTTCAGTGACCTGGTAATCTGAAAAACTATACTAACAGATGAAGTTCACCAGCTCACTGTAATTGTATGGTTGGAAGGTGGTCCACAAGAAAGCACATGTGGTGGCAATGGCATGTTGGTTTAGAAAAATTGCAGTGCCATAATGGCTACATATCTATACTGGTTTCTGAGGTAACTGCAGCAAGAGGTGGCTCCAAATAACCAAATACAAACATTTCTCTGTTCTTGTTAGCTCCATCTCTCTGCTGTGAAACTGGCAGAGTTGCACAGTGATCTCAAAATACAAGAAAAGGATGAGCTAAGCTGGAAAAAACTGAAGGCTGAAGGGCTGGATGAAGATGGAGAGAAGGAAGCCAAACTCCGACGCAACTTAAATGGTAAAGTATATCTTTGAAAGAAGGAGTTTAAACTTTGCATCAGACACATGCATAGTTAGACACCTGTATTTCTACTTGAACCTTTAAATATCAGGCTGTCTCTCTGGACACTGAGCACACACAAGTTCTTTGGAGGTCAATAGGGAGCTGCAGGAGGCTAACAGATTCCTTTGCTCCTGATATTTTCAGAAGAGGTAATTAAACCTGGGACCTCTGTGTCTTAAACTGTTAGGTTATCCCCCATGAGCTGCAAAATCCAGCTCTGCAAGTCAAGGATGTAGCCAATCTCTCATCTTCCATACATCTGTAGTTGGTTCTAATGTTTCTTTGTCTTCTGTTCCCTTGCAGTCATTATGACAAAATATGGAATGAATGGAAAAAAGGACTCTCAACTAGTTGATACCAACTATATTAAAGATGGTACAGAAAGTGACACACTGGATGATCCAAGACTGGAAAAGTTATGGAGCAAGGTGAGTAAGGTTTCCGGGAACTGGAGTGTAAGAAATCAGCATTTCTTCGTTGAACTATTAGACTGTGTCTTTTGAGAGCCCCTGGATTTGGAAATTAAGAGGTTTAGAACTCTTCTGGTAAGTGCTGTCCGAGCTGCTGTGCTCTGTATTGACTTATCTTTTTGCCCTGAGGGTATCCCACCTGCATGCAGATCATCCAGCTGTGGCAGGTTGTCTTTGCAAAACAAAGCACCCACATCGGTCTGCATGGGGGATAAGAGCCTGAGTCCAGTGAGGACAGAGTAGTCAGATTTCACTGAATTCATTGTTTCCCTTAGTGTGACTGTCGCACCGTGTGGTAGGATATCTATGGTGTTGTTCCTGTTGCTTATGGGCTTTTTAAAAGAGATATATTTAAAATAGAACCATTTCATAGATTGTTTAAAATGTAATTTTCTGAGGGGAAGGATTTTAAATAAGGACTTTCCCAACCTAACATTCAAGTGAAAATTTCCAGGATTTGCATTCATGCATAAAAAGTAGAAAGTGTACTGTCAGTTTGGGCAATTAAAACTGGCAAAGTCGTAATTTTCAGAAATTAAATAATACAAGCTTTAAGGAGCAAGTAGTAGGTGAAGCAAAGAATTCTCACACCAGTCTAGTGCAGTGGTAGTAAAGCAGAAAAAAGACTTGGTGGTTTTTAAAATGCTGCTGGCAAGGGCCATGGTGTCCTATGCTTTGGGAAACAGTAAAGTGCAATAGACAGAAATATTTCCTAAGCAAAATAAAGGGTTGGGGCTGAATAGGTATAAAAAACATTCACTTTTGGTCATGCATTGCAGCAAGTCCCCACAGTGTTTGAGCAGTGCTCCCCTGATTGTTGCAGAGCAAGTGCACAGTAGTGATAAAGTCTTCGATTACCAGTAGAGTAAGATGAAATAAAGACTGTTTAATGTCAGGCTGCATCCCTCATGCAGACAGTTCCCTTCAGTTGCATATGGAGCTCCATGGCCCTTATTTCTGTATGAAATTGTTTTCCGTGGAATGGAAATGTCAGACGCTTTTCACCGCGTGGTCCATAGCAAGTCTAGCTTTCTAAGTCTGAAGCCAACTTCATTTTGGCATGATTAAAGCCATCTTATCCATCAATGTCTAAATCCTGACCTCATACTAATATTAAGAGAATTAAAACAAAAGATCTAAGGAAAAGCTGCACTTAATAATTTTCTAAATATGGTAGGAAGGGGAAAGACCTTTTGGCAGTTGAGTGCACTTAAAAGCACTTGGCCTGGAAAGCATAATGTGCTTTTGTTTCTTTCAGGCCAAGACCTCTGGGAAGTTCTCTGATGAGGAGCTGGATAAGCTTTGGCGAGAATTTAAGCATCACAGAGAAAAGATTAATGAATATAATATTCTGCTGGAGACCGTGAGCAGAACAGAAGGTGCCCGAACATTTCTCTGATGTTTTGAGATCAGTACAACTCTTTTCTCTGCCCATTGCTTCCATCGTTTCCAAGTTTCTTTGAAACTCCTGGAACTCTTGACATTTCTGTCAGCACTGCCTGCAGATGCTGACATTTTTAGATACCGACTGGGTTTAGTTCTGCATTAGCTGCCAAAAATCTTGCCAGCTAATGAAAATGTTGCCATATCAGTTTTCTGATTCTGCCTGCAATTCAAGCAAGGAAGATGCCATCAGATTAACAGTGATAGCCATAGTAGTTTACTGGAAATCATGCAGCAAACTTAGATCCACTGCTGCAAAATGTGGTTCTAAAGTCTGCAGAACATGCATGTTTTGTCTCACCAGTTGGGAGCCCAAGGGGATATACTTGGAATATCTTAGGCATCAAGCCTGAGGTGTGTTAGAGCATCAAGGATCTGAATCCAGTTTACTGTACTAATCCAAGCTGAAATTGTTAGAGCTGAAGTATTCTAAAGCTGCTAGTTTGATGTTTGCATTATATAGTCCAAATTGGAAGCTGCTGAAGGTCATTTCACCATCAGATGTCTTGATTGGTTCATGCAATGTCCAGGAAGGAAGGCATGGGACTCATCAACTGTCCCTATCCCATTTCCTTGGGATATCGCTAACCTAGGAAAATAGGAACATTTCCTTTCCAAAATATTACTGAAGTGGCTAGTAGGAGTTAAAAGGCATTTCTGTAATAGCAACCTCCAAAACACTGAGGGATGTTGATGTGAATATTGACCTGCAAAAGGAATTGCTGCTGCTTAAAGTCTGGGTTTGATGCTTTATTTATACTCAGCTCAAATGCTAAAAACTTTGCATCATTTATTCACCCAAGATTTAGGGGATTTTTGTTGCTTTTGACACATCAGTGTTTGGCCCAATATCATTAACATTTATTCTTATTCAACAGATATCCACAAAAATGTTATCAATCCATCTGAAGAGAACCTGGTGAAAGAAGAAATCTTGCACAACAAACACAGAGAACTAAAAGAGAAACTCAGAAGCATCAATCAGGGGTTTGAGCGCCTGCGGAAAGTCAGTCACCAGGGATATGACACAACCAGTGGTATGATACAGTGGGGTTTGTGCTTATGTGGGATTAATTCCATTTTAAAAAAAATAAAAATCAGTTGGCAAGTAGTAAGGTGTAGTCACAGTCTCACAGTACATAGTGTACCACAGTGAGCTGAAGAGACACAACCAGACTGTTCTATTTAGAACCCAACACTAGAAGCCTAATGAAAGGGTAGAGACAACATGTTAAGAAGATAGTTCTGTCTTCCATGCCCACATAAGAAGGAATATTACACCTTCAGCTCCAGGAGGGCAAGTAAATTAGACAACATGCAGGGCAAGTAATGCCATTATTCAGTTCCTAGGGGTTTCTTTTTGCTTTCAAGAATGGCTTGATGCATCAGTACTGTAGTTTCATCCAGTACTTTTTTCTCCTATTTCTTCTAAATAGACGTATTAGTAATGCAGTGCTTAATTTTTCTGTGTGTATATATGTGAGAAAACATGCTCATCTTTCATAGGAATTGGGCATAAAAGCACCAAGTCCAGATTTTCATTTAGTGGTATGTGTTTGTTTAGAATTCGAAGAACCAAGAGTGATTGATTTGTGGGACATGGCCAAATCAGCCAATTTCACTGAGAAAGAACTCGAATCTTTTCGGGTAAGTAGAATTCCAGTGAGATAGCTTACAGAAATATTTCCCACATAAAGAAACCCTCAATGTTACTCTGATTGCAGCCACTTCTGTGTTACCCTCCAGACACCATAGAAAAAAGTCCTGCTTTTTTCTTAATGCTTCAGATATATAAACATGTATGTAACTAGTCGCATGGTTTTGTTATCAGCAAAATGAGAATTCTGAATCCTGTCAAAGCAAGTGTTGAATATTTTAAATCTTTGAAGGATCAGGCCCTGCTTCTTTGTTTTCAGTGTACCAGACTTATCCCTCTTACACAATGTCTTAATGACTTCTTGGGAACCAGTGTAATCTGTGTACTCAGCAATTTCCCTCTTATGCCTACCCCTTGCACTGTTAACTTCCCGTGTTGGAGCTGTGTTGAACTGATCCGAAACTACTGTGGTAAAGATTGCTTTTCAAGGAAATAGAGAAGTTAATTCCTGTGTACTTCATGCCAGTTGCATTGAGAAAATGTTTGATTTTTTTTTATCTGATTCTGCCTGTTTATCAGAATTGATTTTGATTAATAAGCTGAAGAAGTAACTCTTTAGGGCTTCAGGGAGCTGCATGTACAAAAGATGTTGTCTTAGTGGCCGAGACATGGTTAGGGACACTTTGAGCTTCTTTTCCAGATAAGGTAATGAGAGTTTTAACTGTCTGGCATGGGGTTTGAAATCTGTCTCTCTTAAATATCAAAGATCAATCTTATTTATTGTAACTGAAATCCAGCCCAATTCTCTTATGAAGCAAACACTTTAGTTGCACTGATTTCAGTGGTCCTGTATTCTACAAGTGTCAGAGAAAAGGTGCTGAAGTCTGCAACAAAGCTCCTGCTGACCTCAGTGGGACATTTTGGTCAATTGCATGAGAGGTAAATTTGGCCTTCTGTCTGCCAAAGTGAAAAAGAAAAACCCAATTCCATGAGCAGGAGCACATACCTGCTTATTAATTTTACTGGTTTAGTAGAAATCTTTTTCCATGCAGGCCCTCTTCATCAGACCAAACCTGTCTTGTTACTACAAATGTTGGGACATCCTAACAAAGTAAGAAAGAAGAAATCACAGTGAAACATCTGCAGCTAAGATAATTTATCAGAGCGTAAAACCCCAAGCTGAGGTCCTGAATGGAGTATGTCAAACAGACTGGAATGTTCTACAGCAAAAGGAAACTATTTTCTTGTCAAAAATACTGAAAACAAAACCTTTGTCCTTTAAAAATTGCAAAAGAACTGTTAGGATGATGGATTTTTATTTTTATTTTTTACCACTGTCTTGAAACTGGAGGAATTTTGTCAGCCACCATGACTGAAACACACCAGTGACCAAAATGAAGTGGGCTCTGTCAAGCAGTGATTTCACTCCAGGGTTTGTTTGAGTGTTGCTGGATGTAATGTGTAGAACTTCTGCCATAAGTGGCATAACAGTTTGAAGTGTTTCTATCCTTTTCACAGAGGAGGCATCCTAAGACACAGAGAAACTGAATCTTTGGCCCTGAATTAGCAAAGCAAGAGCATGGTTTGGTGGGTAGAGACATTGCTCACTCTTTGGTCCCCCCTTACCATGCTATCTGAGGGCTTGTCTCTGATATATGACTGAACATGACAGTCTGGCCACTGTCTCTGGGACAAATTGAGAGTGTGTCTTGTTTGTTCACTGATTCAGCCTACTTCATCATAGCAGACTGTAAACCCAGAAAACATTTAAGTCTGAGCAGAAAATAGCAGATCCAGGACTTGATTTTGGAAAGAGCCTTCCTTTAAAAATTGTCTCACTCCCCCCGTCTATTGTTCTTATGCATAAACTTTCATTTGGTGTGCTCTGCTCTCCTCTCCTGGCACCTCACAGCCATCAGCAGTCTGCAGTGGGTCATTTTCAGCACCTGCTTTCAAAATGAGGTGTCTGGGTGGTGATGATAATGCATTGTCCAGACATTCTTAAGAAGCAGGAACTGAAAAGCTTTCTGTGCTTGACTTAATGAAATATCATTAGGGGTGTCTTGGCAAGAAAAGAGAAAGAAAGCTTTGGAATCTTTCCCGTTAAACTGTGTGTATTTGTTGTCTTAGGAGGAGCTGAAACATTTTGAAGCAAAAATTGAAAAACACCATCATTATCAGAAACAATTAGAGATTTCACACCAGAAACTCAAGCACATAGAGGGAACTGGAGATAAGGATCATCTGAACAGAAGCAAAGAAAAATATGCCATGCTGGAAGAAAAGACAAAAGAACTAGGATATAAGGTCTGTATAAATCCAGTGTACATATATGTTGAAAGTTTAACTCCGTAGTAGAGTTTAGGTAGATTATCCAGTACTGATTTTTCATGCAAGCTGAATGACTTCCAGAAGGGGAGTTCAAGGCACATCTGTTCTCCATGTTTAGTACAGGATGCACATAATTGGTTTCTTTAAACCTAATTTTAAAAGGCCTGAAATCTCCCTGCTCTCTGCTCTTCCTGTTATCCCATATACTCAGTGAAAATCTGAATGTATTATATTGGTAATTTATTATCTTACTAAAATGTGTTTCATGTGGGTTGTTTTTTTTTCCTGATAGGTAAAGAAGCACTTGCAGGATTTATCCAGCAGAATCTCTCAAGGTCTTCAACACAATGAGTTATAAAAATTCATTTTACTTCATGGGACCAATCTGTTAACACAAACCAGATAATGTGTTTCTCTGAACAGGGCTTACCACAGAGTCCTGAAATAGTAAGGATTGAACAGATATGTCTTGTATGAAATTTTTTTAATCTACTTAATTGCCAGTTTTGTATTTGCACTATAAATTTCAATGATTAGATTATATGTTTAAGTTGCACATCTTGGATCGTATAAATCTTCATTTGGAATCAAGTAGCAGCCTTGGAAATAGTCATGTCAAAAAGAAAACTGTCTGAACTCTCAAAGGATTCTTGCTATTAAAAAATACTAATCTTACAGTCAGGTAAGTGTTTTGACCAATGAAAGCAAACACTGAGGTACAGGAAGTTAAAACAGGGGCCAGAAAGGTCTTTATTTCAATGCTTGGCCTTTTACATTTCCTACTGAAGGTAACGAAAATATTTCTACTGACTTTGAGCATTGGCTCAGAGCTGCACTGTATTTGAACTTTTCATGTGAGAGAGGAAGGAAGAGTAAGGAGGGAATAAGTACTGAAGTAAATTTGCACAGTTAGTTATTGACTAACACGTGTGGAGTTACTGAACATACATGTACAATTATCTTGTTCATTGTTGCTTGGTTTTGTTACACTTAGTCATTAAAAAATTCAAACAAGATACTGGTGAGGCTTTTTTTTTCTTCTCTTTCATATAGTGAGACCTGTTGTTTTTAGTATGTTGCTTGTTTCTGTAGTGTTCATTCACATGTTAGTTTTTAAGACTGGAGGGGTAGTTTTGCACCACACTAATGTTTTCCTATGTTTTGGCTAGGCAGAAGGCTCTCTAAAGTAGCTGCTCTCTGAGCACATATGCCAATGCAATCTCCAGTAAATATTATCACTTTCCCTTTCGAAACCATTTTTGTCTGGTCAGAACTTTGGCAAACATCAGGCATCTGGGTGGAAATTGTCTGTAATAACAGTGCTGATCCTTTATTTTCAAGGAGTATTTCAAGTGAAACTGTTTCAGGAACAGGGCCAAGACAAAGGTCCAGGGTGGGTAAACCATTACAGCTGCTTGGCTGAGGATCTGTCACTCAGATTGCAGCCCTGTGGTGTGCTGCACGAGGAAGGTGTTCTCTAGCCTCACTTCTCCCTACCTGTTCCATGAGAAATACTGAAGAGATCCATTCAGTTAGAATAAGCCACTTGTCCTGGGTCGATCCTGGGTTAAAAGCAGCGTGAGTCTGGGCTACAGACTATAGCATCTGTGCAAGTGATCTGAACCAAAACTGTGGTAGCAGTCTTAACTTTGAGGTTCTGAAACTCTTTGTATCAGTAAGCTTTTTGGGGTTTTTTTGGTTTGTTTTTTTTTTAAACTTTTTAAAATTACTATCAGCTAAGAGTTATTTGTATTCCAGAGAATCATTGTCCATCATGATAACACAGGTTACCATTAATATCAGCAGTCTCCTTAGAGATGTTTCATGGTGTATATCACCTTTGGTTGGTGAGTTAAAGAAGTAAGCCCCAAAATAGCTACAACCCATTTATGAGAAAACTGGTTTCTTTTTTTTCTAGGTGCTACACACTATTTCTTCCCCACACTATCACTTTAAGAGCTGCTCAGCTTCTGTAAAAAAGCAGTAACTGTATTGTCTAACAGGTTTGTCTTCATCATTGTTTTTTTTCAGTTTTTCAACATGAATACAGAACAGAAATGTGTTCTATACTTTGTTAGAAACTGCAGACTTCAGTATATCTATCAGCTTTGCCTTTGGCTGAGTAAGAAATAAATCATAGGTCGGTTTGCTGGCTGTAGCTTGGATTTGGAAAGGCCTGCACCACTGGCTCCTGCGTGAAGAATTTGGATATGTGCACTAAATACATCAGCAGGGGAGGGGAGTTCAGCAATGCACTGGGCCAGTCCTGCTCAGCAGTCCTAGCTGGGTTGTATGGGAATGCAAAAGCTTTTACTGAGCACATTCAGATACTGCTGCTGAGGAAGGTGTGTTGCACACAGGAAAGCAGCATGAGCAGCTCAGCCTACACTAAAGGCAGGCACAGGAGCTATGTGCTCCTCACAGGAGGGCAGAGCAGACAGCTGGGGTTCGTCTTCAGTGTGTACCTGAAACAGAACATGCTTTTCGACGAGTTTCTGAAGATGTTTGGGACAGAACAAGGTGGTGGATTCGTGGAACAAGTAACCAGGGTCTGATCAGCAGAAGTAATGGTTGTCTCCAAGTGCAGAGCTGCTTCAGCAGCCTCCTAAAAAAAATTCATTTGGCCAAAATAACAAAGATGACATGGTGTTTGAGGCATTAAAGATTTAGAAATAACTTGAGTCGTTAATTTTGTGTTTCTGTAAAGGGCAACGAAAAATCAAAGCCAAGAAAAAAGGTATAAATGAAATATGCTTACAATCCTGTACCCCATGTGAGATGCATAATGGAGTTCATAGGTGAGATTGCATGAAAGAGTCATTTGAAAAGGAAAGAACTAACAGCTTTTAAACAGTGGTTAAAACTTCTCTTCCTTAACTGGTATTTTATCTGCTCCTTTTGTAATTATTCAAATTACCAAGGTTTTCAAACCACTCTGAGAAGCAATTTGAAATATAAAAGTGGGAGCAGAGAAGGAGGAAAGAACTGCATTTCTTAGGAAAAAAAAATCAGAACATTTTATGTTTTATACAGTCAATCAAATTCTGCTCTGAAAAAGAACCTCAGTTTAAGTAAATGTGTCAGTGACTTCACACAGGACAGATTTTATTTGTCAGAAAGGGTGGGGGTGGAAATGAGAGGGAAATAAATATATAAGGCATTAAATGCAACAAAAATAACCAAGTCTTTCTTAAAATAAACATGTCCTACGTCTTGGTGTAGCAGCTAAGATGGCATCATTCTCCCAAGGCAAGTCAGGAACAGAACTATAGCGTATGTACTGCTGCAACAATTTCCCTTCTCCCCTCCCAAGGGAGCCTGATGCCTATTAGATCTGGCAATAGTGAGTATTTAAATTCACCAATTAGAGATCATTTACATTTTGTAAGCTGAGCTGCCATCTGCCTTTTCAGCTCCAGTTCCTGCAGGTAGGGATTTGGTGCTCAGAAGCTGGTGGAAATAGGAGCCTTGGCTGGTCTCTCTTGCTTGCTGTGTGTCCAGTGCTCTCTGTGGGGTTCCCTCAAGCCAGGGCTAATAGAGCTTTTGCACAGAAGGTGACAGAAAGCAAGAGACAGAGAAAGCAGTTTAGTTTCCAGAACGATGCTGCCTCAACAGCTGATCTTGGCTGAGCATTCAGAAGGGCTTCAGGCCCTGACCATTGAGCAGAAGGCAGTTCCTGAGCTCCCAGTTCAAAGAGAGGAAGCACAGCTGAGTGTACACTCCCTAGATCCCAGCTCACTGCCTGCAGCTCTGTTTCAGCAGGTATCTTCTCCCCACTGACCCTGAAGGGATCTGGCAGGGGCCCTCACACTTCGTATTTTCAGTTCTGCCATTTATTCAATATGTGAGTTTAGGCAAATCAGTGCAGTTAGTTACACTCCATGAGAGAATGAGGGTTCCCAGCCACAGTGCCTAGAAACCAGAGCATCACACTGAGCACCAGTCTGCTCCTCTGCAGGCCCTAAACCAGGACCACGGGTCAAAAGCCCAAGTACAATGTTCAGCTCAGAACTACCCCAGGTAGAGGTAATTCATACTTCACATGCTTCATTCCAAACATACTCATCATCCACAGACCTTCCCTGTCATCACTTGGCACTGCTTCAGGGAAAGTTTCAGGCTGGTTTGTTTAAAAAGGTGCCACTTCACATAAAAATTCTACAAGTAGTGCAGAGGCAGTTCTAAAATAATTCTTAAATATATTTTGTCTTTCCATAGCATTTAATGAAATAGAAGAAATAACGTCATGAAATAGAAGTCAAAAAATCGTTGATTTCAACACAAACAGACCTAGCTTTGCAATGGAGAACCTGGTGCTGCATTTTCTGCATGCATTATGTTGTCTAACAAACTGCTTCTACATACCAAAATCAACATTTCCAAGTACAACACACAGTTAACATATTTCAGGCCATTCACATAGCACCTATTGGGAAGTAGGAAGTTAATCTACAGAAAAAAAAGATTGCATGGATTTCTTTTACTAGTATCCACAGGCCTATAATGGAAGCTTTCAGTACAGCCAAAATAAATTCATTAACTTTCCTCCACAGTAAATATTTCAAGTTGAGCTGTATTTGGTACAGCAATGACTGCAACTCAATGCTTTTATCAATAGCCCTTAATGCACTTTCATATCCAAATCTTGAAGTATATTATGCCACCACTCCACAAGAGCTCTCTCCTACATCAAAAACAGTACACAGATATTAATGCTTAACATGTGAACTTTGTTCCTTCACTGATGTGTCAATTTATCAGAAAGCTGCACACATCCATTTTAATAAAACCAACCTTTTTCAGTCTCAAAGGTTGCCTGTCAATAACTGGTCTACTGTAACTTAAACCTGGTAATTTCTATAGGCAAAGTGAGTGTTGAATCACTTTGAAATAAGCCTCCTACTAAAATAAAATGCTATTTAATGTTCTACAGTTATAATTTTCCAGGCAATTTAAGTATTTTAAGAAGAAACACATTAAGAACTGAAAACCTGCAGATGCAAACCTATAATTTGCAATGCTTGGCATTAATCTAACCTTAACATTCAATCTCAGTTTCTAATTCAAGACAACATCTGAATCAAAACCAATAACTAAATGATCCTTCAAGGGGGAAA